ACACACACACACACACACACACACACACACACACACACACACGACTTTCTGCTGAGGGAGGGAGCACAGGGCAACTGGAGCTCAGCAAGCTATGGTGTCCTGAGCTGTCCTGCAGCCCAGTGACCAGCTGCCAGAGAGAAGGTACAGAGGGGACACAGGCTCAGGCTGGGCTGCTCATGCCCATCAGCCCCAGGTCCTGCAGCTGCAGCTAAGATAGCGGCAGCTCCACTCTCCCATGTCTCTGGTCTGCCCTGCGGTTGCTGCTAGCCAGCAGCTCTGGCTCTAGAGTGGCAGAACAGACACAGAAGCAAAGAACCCTCCAAGGGGTCCATGAAAAGACCCCTTCCCTGAGTCTTTCCCAAGGCAGAGCAGCCCCCTTCCTGCTAGAAAAGCCCCAATTAGACTCCATCCCTACTGGTGTGCACGCCCATCTTCCCAGCCTCTTCCTTTGCTCCTGGCCAGCAGACAGCCTTTGCAGCCTCCCCTGTAGGGTGCAGCATGACCCCTGCTGCCTCATCTCTATGCACACACTCTAGCCTTCTGGCCCTCAGGATGGGATCATACTTAGTGGGTTCAACATCTGGTCAGGAGTCTGCACATTTCGGGGACAACTTCTGAATACACAAGGTTGATTAATGCATAGGCCATGAGCTGCTTCAGACTGGCCAGGTCTGGGCCCTGGCAAAACTCTCCTGGGTATTGGAGCAACCAGGTCTCGAGGAGGGAGTTCAGAGTACTAGGGGCAGAAGGGAAGGAAAGTCAGGGGTCTGATCTCTCCCCTGGCCTAGCCTGTTACTGTCCCTGAAGGAGGGTTGTTAGCATGCCCACCCTGCACAGGAGCTGCTGTACCAGGCATATGGGGCCCAGGCATGAGCTTCTGTGCCCCACTCCTTCTGAGCAGCCTCCATACAGGATGGCGTGTGCTCTTCTGGCTGGGAAAGGGCTGTGTGCAGATTGATCCTCAGGAGTACCTGCTCTGAGCCCCAGGCACCCGTTGCTTTCACATACTCAGGACCCCAAACATAGCTCTCCATCTTTCTTCTCCATGAGGTGCGGCCTCCACCCCCAGCCTCTAGTAGGAATCAATGAACAGTGTGTGACCCTGGGATTTCCCTGACCCACTAAAACCCAGTTGCTCAGATGAAGCCCTCTGTGGAGACAGGAGCCCTCCCTCTTAGCCCCGAGCCCTCTCACCTCTTGTTTGCTGGTCCTCTGCAGAGTTCGGGTATAAGAACCCACACCTAGAAGGGTCAGGAGTGTGTGCGCTTATAGCACCCAGTGTCCCATCTGCCAGGATGTGTAGGGGACAATCTGATCCCGGGATGGGAAGGGAAGAAGGGGAAGCTGAGAGGTTTGTGTGTGCTGTTTCCTAAATGACAGAGAAGTGTCAGGAAAGGTGCCTGCACACACTTGTGCAGTGAATGAACCTGGCCAGCTCCTGCCCAGATGTCTCAGTATCTGGATGGCTCTTAGTAGATCTAACTCTGACCACCTTCACAGAAATGCCAGCATGTAGCACCTTGGCCCCATTTGAAATAGCTCCTTACTGAAATCTCCATCTGACTTGGCATCTGAGGGGACTGGGATAGGGATAGGGACACTTGCCCTCCTCAGGTGCAGAGCTCCACCTCCGGGCAAGGTGGCGGCAGGGCTCACAGCTGCACTCTACCCCTGATCTTCTCAGCCTCGATACTACCTTCCAGGCACCTGTGGTGCCAGCCAGCAGGAGCTGTGCTTCAGGTAGAAGAGTGAGAATGGAGGACGATGGCTGCCCTGTGACTTCAGGTCACTACTCAAGCGCTGGAAATGCTGCCTGGACAGGACTGGGTCACACTTCTGCAGCCTGAGCACCTCCGAGCTCAGGCAAGTCCCCAGCAGCACCTGGGTCCACAGGCTCCCAGCTCTGGCAGGAAGCTGGTGCGCTGCAGGTCAGCTGACCGCACTTCTGACCGGGGGCTCACAGAACTAGCAGTGTGCAGCACTTTCCATCCTGTCTCCTCTTATCAGGACTCAGGGATGGGTTTTGAGGTGACCGTAATCTCCTCCCTAATTCCTCCCTGTTATGGGTTCTCAAACAGAAGCCAGACCAGAGTCCAAAGTGAGAATTTAAAATGAGCCTTTAAGACCTTGTGTGCGGGCTGGTGAGATGGCTCAGTAGTCTAAAGCACCTACTTAGAATAAGCTAAGCTAAGCAAAGCACAGAGACCGTGGTTCAATCCCCCAGCACCACATGCCAGCCGGCCCCGCCCCCTGGTGGGCTGAGCTGGCCACACACACACTAAATAAATAAATATTTTTTAAAAAAAGAACTTGTGTGAGCTCGAGGCGGTCCTGACTTCTACTCACGCAGGAGAGAAGACAGAGATGTGCCCAGGGTAACAGAAACCAGAGTTTTTATACAGAAACTACTCTCTACTTAGCATGTATACATAATTTAAAATTAATCATTTATAACCTACCAATGCATAAAGGCACAATTCACAGGTTAACTTGACAATAGATTGAGTACAATATCTAGATGAACTTCCTTTTGAGTTTTAACAAAACAAAATCATGAGCTACATTCCCACAAGGATAGACAGGCAGTCAGGCCTAAACTTAATTTCACCTATTATACAGGGGTTGAATGTCTCAGGTACGTATACATCTACATGAATCACTCTGGCTAATCTTAGTACAATTTAACACTTTCTGAGATTACTAACCTTTAATCTATACATATACTATGTCTTGTATGTTAAGAGCAGTTATAAAAAGAACTCTTCAGTCTTAGGAGGAATTCCCCAGATATGAGGGCTTAAGGCTGTAATTTTTAAACTACTGGGTGCTCTTGATCATCCTGTTCCTAATTTGCAGAAAATCAGCTCAGTGAGTTCAAAATCCAAGTAACCAATTACACTCCCCTCCTGTCTTCTGTAGGTTCCCAGAATCTCCTCCTCCAGGGCCCCTCCACTTGGCCCAGAGGGCCACCCTGTCCTGTGGCTGAGTGCTGGTGCTGGGCCACTGTTTCCTTCTCTCTTCATCCCAGCACACAGCAGGGCACTATCAGGGTGTTCAGTGTTCTGGAACAAGGCAAGGAAGGAGAGTGGAATGGAGGGAGCAAGGGCAGCGTTTTCCCTGGGCAGACCCTTCCCATCCTGGGGGTATCTTTACAATGCAGTGCTGTTTTCCCAGTGTGAAGCCCCTGGTACCTGGCCTCCCAGAACCCTGATCCTGCAGAGGCCTCGCATCTCCAGGAGGGCTATAATTGCTATAATGTTGCAATGGGCCCCCATAATGAGGGCTATAATGTTGCAATGGGCCCCATGGAGGAAGACCTGCCCAAGACTGGGGCCCCAGCCCAGCACCCCTGCTCCTCCAAGCTGGGCCAGCCTAACAGGCTCTCAGCTCCTGGCCCTCGCACAGGACTCAGGCTCTGCTGGCCCAGGACAGAGGACAGTTAAGGTCCTGGTGGAGACCTTGACCTCAGAGAAGCAGCAAACAGCACCTGGGCTGCTCTAAAGGGCCATGGGAATACAGGGATATGGGGAGACCCTAGACTGGTTCTGAAGGGCTGGCAGGTGAAGCAGATGCAGGGACTCAGTTGTCCCCTAGCAGGGTCAGCTTACTGAGGTATAAGGACAGGTTACTCAAGTGCAGAGCCACTTCTAGCCCAGGGGAGATGCAGTGGGGACACGGGGGTGTGCTGGCCGGGATCGGATGCTTCCCTCCCCAGGCAGGGTCCTGCTGCCTTGCCTGTGTTCAGACCCCAGGTCTGCATGGCAAACCCAGTCCTGCTCCAGCTGTAGCTCAGCCTGAGACCGCAGAGATAATGCCAGCCTCCCGGCACGGTCCCCTCTGCTCCTGATCAGCACTCGGTCCAGCCCAGGGATTAAATTCTCCCCTGGTTCCCAGCAGAAATCCTGAGTTTCTTTTCCCAAACACTGGAAGGAGAATAGAAAGTGAAACTGAAATTGACTGAAGAGAATGGGAAGTTGGGGGAGGCAGCAAGGGAGCCAGGCCACCTAGTGGCCTGGGAAACATGCCCACCCCAACCCCCACCTCAGCTTCCAACCCACAGGCAAACTCCTACTCCCATCCGCCAGGCTCCACCCCAGTCTCCCTCTCCCCCCAGGTCCCTCCCCCACATCCTCCATGCCTGCCCTCTGCAGCTTGGCAAAGACTGTGAGTCCCTGCTGGGTTTCCTGTGGCCTGGGCTTTCAGGAACCTGTCAGGCAAAGATCCCAGTGGTCTGAAGGAGATTGCCCTGGTCCAGCGAGACCTACAGACTCCATCTTGGCCTGCAGGGCTGCGGCCCTCTCCTGCTCCAGTCCTCAGCCGCTGAGCTCACAGCTCAGACAGGTGTCACCTAGGTCCTCACTGGTGAGGGTCTCTGAAGACTGGGCAGGGGCTCCTGGTAGCTGTCAAAGTTTCATTTTGGCGCTCAGCCCCTCCCATTCTGGCTTCTGGGGAAGTGGGCGGGGCAATGAGTCTGTCACTGTGGGCCAGGCGTGGTCTGCACTGCTTGAAGCTCAGCCCAACTTTCTCAATGTGAGCTGCACCTGGACTGGTGAGTGTTGCCTGCTGGGGTCCCCAGTAAGCTCAAAACGGAGGCCCCGGGAGCAGAGGCTTTTTCCCGAGACAGCACCCAGGGTGGGATGCAGGTGCCTGTGGGTACTATAACAGTGAGAGGGACAGGGACACCGGACTCCTGGTGGGGGCAGACCCATTCCAGTCCTGTTCCACCATGCACAAGCTTGCTCACAGGGGTGGGGATGGGGCGTGGCAGGAGCAGCTCCCAGCTGTCCTTCCTGCTACAGGAGGAATGGCTAGGTGGCCTGGGGGTCCACAGAGAATCTGGTCTGGGCATGGAGGATGCTTCTGATCTGCTGCTCCAGTTGAAGCCCCAAAGCCACGCCCCAGCTGTGTTCCTGCTGATCTATGAAGTCCAGGACCTTGGTAGACTGAGAGGAAGGCACTCTCAGAACAGGGTGTTGTTGGGAAGTGCTAGCTGGGAGGGGCTCAGCAGAATAACAATGCTGACATTCCTCTCTGTCTTGGGACACCCTGGAGACCTGGAGCTCCAGGACTAGTGGGTGGTAGGACTCTGTCTTCAGGCTCCATCCAGTTCCTGGGGTGACTGGGGTGTGAGGGGCAGTGGAAGGAGCCCAGATGCTGCTGAAACCTCCCCCCACCTGTGGGACCATGAGCTGCCTCATGGGATCTTGGAATGAGCTGACCCACTGGGGATGGACATTTCCTAGGAAGCAGGATCACTGGTGTCCCTGGGTCAGTCTGAGGATCCTGGAAGGTGTGAAGTTGTCACCTCTCTCTTTTGAGGCCTCAGCAGCTGTCCAGCTGCACGCTCCTTCTGAAGGTGGCTGTACCCCCAGGAAAAGCACCAGCTGGAGCATTTTCTAAACATAAGCTTAGGGGTTCATTTCAGATCTCAACCATCATCCACATGTCACTGTATGAAAGAAACTGAAGAAGGCAGTAGACTCCCCATGTCTGTTTAGCCTGTTCCCATGGAACTTAAGGGTGTTGGCCTTGGGACCAAGCAGACCAGCTCATGGTGCCTAAAGGCCACCAAGGCAGTGCTGGCCCAGTAGGCTGTGGGCAGACCCTTCCACTGCAGAGAGGTGGAAGAAGGGGACCTGACCATGTAGTGCAGCACCGCAGAGAACATCAGGTCTTCCTGCTGGCCAGTAGAGAGGGTAGAATTTTAGGACACATTCCTAGATGGACCAAATCCAGGGATGCCCCTTTTAATCGCTGGAGTTTGCCTCTTGGACCCTCACACAAGCAGTGCATTCAGCTATCCCTTTCAAGATAGAGCAAGTAGAGGTGATGATGGCCTGGACTCTCATCCAGGTTGGGGTATGAAGTGGGGCTACTGGAGGGTTGTGTATGGAATGCACTAACTCACCATCTGTATTGAAGCAGCAAGTACAGCAGAAGTGGATAGAAGAAGGGTCCTTCCATGGGGGAAGCTCAAAGAGATTCAGCCGCTCCGTCCAATCATCTCCAGCTCAGTGGAGATGCTTATAATCCAGAAAAGGCCCAGGCCCTGGTAAGTTGCTGTCTTAGAGTCACACTCTGTGTGGACAGGAGCTGTGTCCAGCTGAGGACTGCAGGGGGGTCTGTGTGGTGGGTGGAGGGACGGAAGTAGGGTGAGGAGCTCCTTCCCTGGCAAAGTGCTTCCTAGTCCTTCCTGTGGCAGGATGTAGATCAGGGCCCCTTATCACTGTGCTTAGGACAGTGTGCAGTGGAGTTAGTGTGGGGTTTTTTTTTTTGGAAAGGCAGAGGTGATGCTGAGCTTGTGTGGAGCTGGCTGGACCCTGGGATCTGAGAGCACTGTGTGGGTCTTGTGCAGATGGGGGATCCTTGTGCAGCTGTGAACCCTGAGGTGTCCTTATGATACTTTCTCCCCAGGGAAGCCATGTGAAGTCTGATCCACACCTGTTTTTTCTTTTCTTTTTTTTTTTTTTTTTGGAACAGGGGATTGAACTCAGGCCCTTGCGCTTGCCAGGCAAGCACTTACTCCACTAAGCCATCTCCCCGGCCCCGTTTCTTCATTTCTTAGCCTGGTTTTTCATGTCTAAACTGGGCTCAAAGAACATGTGGTTACTGAGAGATGTAGTTGCCATTGATGTCAAACTCCTGAGAACATTCTGTTTATTATAATTGAATGTTTCTACCCCAGGCCATTGTCCTGTTTCATGTTAGCTTGTTCTTAGGTGATGTTCAGCAGGCTTTCCAATGCACAGCACTGTGGAACATCACAGAACAGTGGCAACAGCTACCCGCCTCTCCAGCTCCATAAGGTCCCTCATTCCATGTCCCTCCTTTCCCCACCAGTGTCTCCCTTACTGACCTATGATCCTCAGGCTATGGGGCAGGATGAACTCACAGCTTTCTGTTAGATTTCTGTTATTGTAACAAAAATTCTTAGCTAATGAAGTTATAGAGAGGAAACCTTTACTTACAGTGCCAGAGATTTCAGGCCACAGTAGTTGTCTTAGTTGCTTTGGGAAGCAGTTGGCATGGTGTGGGGGAGGGTATCCCAGAGCAAAGTGACACCTCATGTCTGGGAAAGAAGAACAAGAGAAGGTAAGGCGTGGGTCCCTTTATCCACCTGCTCCTCCCCTCCCCAGTGACCCAAGTCCTTCCCCCCCGGGCCCACCTCTTCAGGTTCCTGCTGTCTCCCAGTGGTGCCAGGCTGAAGACCAGGAGTTCAGGATCTGTGCCTTGAGGACATTTCAGGCCTAGTTGGAGTGTGCACTCACACCACATGCTGAGGACATGGCCCTTTCCTGTCCAGGGCCGGGTCACCTTGGTGCTCCCCCCTAGGGGGATGGACACAGTTCCCAAAGTTGGGCTCACACTGACAGTATCAGCTCAGGGCTTTTGGACCTTCAAGCACTTTGCTTCTCAGCAGCCTCGCCCTGGGATTCTCCTGGCTGTGCTCTAACAGAGCTCAGGGGGCACGGGCCCTGAGCCCTGGGAAACAAGGAGGACTCCAGCACGCTGGTGCGCTGTGTGTCAGAGCAGCCTTCTTCCTGGCAGCACAAGGAAATGCTGGCAGGGCTCAGAGCGAGGCAGGGCTGCCCCAACAGTGGTCAGACCTTTTCTAATTACTGCGTCACATCGGTGCTGTAATTCTCACACTGCTGGTCCATGGAGGGCTGATCCACCGGGCATCTTGTACAGCTGGTGGTACAAACAGATCTTACCATTTGTCTTAGTGCTGTGAGTGGTGAAATGACTGAAAGCCACCTGATGGGACAGTTATGCGTGCACCACTGGTGGTGGGTCAAGCCCTGGGGAATAGGACTTGTTAGGCTCAAGGTTCCTGTGTGGGTATTTATTTGCTCTTTGAAGCATTTGTTTTCTCTTTCTGCTTTCTTGACTTCCTGCCTTCTTTTGGTTGACCTTCTGTACTGTAGGGCGCTTTCTCCCTTGTCAGCATGCATACAACGTCTGAGTCCAGTGGATACATCCTTCCTATCTGTGCCTTTATCTGCCTGAATATCGTTGTGTGTAACATCAGAACCTCCCAGTCACATTTCTCCGCTACGACTGTGTTGTGTGTCATCCAGCTTCTTCTCCTTTATGTCTGAAACCCTGCATCCTGTTGCTATTGTTTTTGTTGAGAAAGTCTGTTACCATTTACAGATGTTTCTGAGATTAGAAAATGTACGGTAGCCGGGGAGATGGCTCAGTAGACTAAGCGCTTCCCTGGCAAGCGCAAAGGCCTGAGTTCAATCCACAGTTCTGCCAAAGCAAAACAAAACAAACCATACAGTTGCAAATAAGTCAGTAAATACTGAAAATGTATGGTAGTTACCACTATGTCCATTGCACTGTGTGGACGACACTTTGCCAGGACTGTTGTTCCCTCTGGTGTTTGAGTGATGAAAGGCTTCAGGTTTTGCATGTCCAAAAAGTCTTCATTTTGCATTAATTTTTAATTTTTTAATGTTAAGATGATTGCTGTCTCTCAGGTAGATGACTGTTCAAAAAGAAATGGGTGGTGAATGAAGGCAAGAGACAGGAAAAGGAATGTTGTGGGATTGTCCTGCTTCAAGGTTGTATATGGTTAGATTTTTGCACTTATGTGTAAACATAAGAAGTATCTAATTCTTTATGCCTATTTTTAAAATATATTCTAATTTTTAAATGTTTTTTCATCATACTCTATAGGGACGAAAAGTTCAACATATCAATACTTGATAAAAAATACCTGTTCCATGTTATGCCTAAGATGTTTGATATTCAGACAGATAGTGAGGTTAAGTTTAACAGCCTAAGTTGTATGGTAATAATAATAAGCTTCTCTTCTGGAGGGTTAACAACCTAAGTTTGCAGACCAAAATTAGAGAAAAAGGAGGGCTGCAAGAAAAGCCAACATTTTGGCCCTAGGCTTCCAAGGTCAATTAAGACTCAGGACATATAGGAACTTGTGCTGTAACGTCATGTAACTCGGTAGTGTCCCAAATTTTCTGATCAAGGAGATTATGGGGCTAAAGAGGAAAGTGATCGATGATGTTGAGTGTGCCTAAGGAGGGTCACATAGAGAGAAAATATTCTCTCAGGCTTTCATAGAGAGCACATTGGCCAAGCAATGGCCGTGACTCATCCACATGGCTGACACTGACAAAGGCTCTACAATCTGAGGTACAGGATCTCAGGATAAATCCTGAGAGGATTTCACTGACCTTATCAGACCCAAAAGCTACAACTCTTATTGCATAGGTCTTGCTTTACCTTGGTCTTAACCATCCAGCAGAAAAGTACAAAAACGAAGTATAACAAGTAAAGCCATGCTGTTATGGTGAGCTGTAGGGGACTCAGGTGAACAGTTTCTGACATTGCTAGTGAAGCAGAAGACCCAATACTATTATGGACTACTGGATTCTTTTAGAATATTTTGCTGAGTTAACACATCTGTAATATTCAAATAATGGAACTAACCAAGAAAAGGGGATACAGATGAATGTCCATTTTGTATCTGTGTATTCAAAGTGGTTAGGATAGATATATAGTTACGTTCTCTTAATGAATAGAGGGATTTTTTCTAATAGTGTTTGAAAATAGGATATCATGTCTGCATCTTGTACAGCAATTAACCACTAGGAAGAATGTATGCAATGTGTTAATTATTGAAACTGTCCTACCAATTTGGTTTGAAACTGTCTCATCGCTATTTGTTTCTTAATAAAATTATGGGGGAAAAAAAGATGATTTCCTGAAAACAACACGGAAAAGAGGTAAAGAACAAGCAATACTTTGCTGTCTATGGTCCACACAGGCTGGTTCTTTTCAGCCACACTGCTCACACGTCCAAATCTCAATGTTCCCATCTATAAAATGGGCAGTAACAACCCACATAACATTTTTTTGAATTTTTAAAAAATAATTTTATTGAGAAACAAGCAGCAGTGAGATAGTTTCAAAACCGATTAGTAGGATAGTTTCAATAATTAACACATTGCATATTGTTGTCTTAGTTGTTATTTATTGTACAAGATGCACACATGATATCCTGTCCAAACACTATTAGTACAAATCTTTCTATTCATTGAATTAAGAGAATGTAGCTGTATATCTATCCTAACAATTTTGAATATACAGATACAAAATGGTTGTTGATTTTTTTTTTAATTTTAATGCTTTATTTATTTACGTGTGTGTGGCCAGCTCAGCCCACCAGGGGGCAGAACTGGCTGGTATGTGGTGCTGGGGGATTGAACCGCGGTCCCTGTGCTTTGCTAAGCTTGTTCTAAGTAGGTGCTTTAGACCACTGAGCCATCTCACCAGCCCCTGGTTGTTGATTTTTATCCCCTTTTTTTGTTTAGTTTTGTCAGAGAAGGGCATCCCATTGTCATTTAAATATTGTAGGTGCATGAATTCAGCAAAATATTCCAACATAGTCCAGTAGTCCATAATAGTAGTGGGTTATCCTCAGGACTGGCAATGTCAGAAGTTGTTGACTTGAGACTTTCACAGCTCAGCATATTAATATTGCTCTTTTTTTATACTTTGGTTTTATACTTTTCTGCTGGATGGTTAAGACCAAGATAAAGCAAGACTTATATATCTAATAAGAAATGTAACTTTTGTATCTGATAAGTTCAGTCAAAGCCCCTCAGGATTTATCCTGAAGCCCTGCACCGCAGTTTGTAGATCCTTTGTCAGTGTCAGCCATATGGATGAGTCAGAGCCATTGCTTGACCAGTTTGCTCTCTGTGAAAGCCCAAGAGAATGTTTCCTCTCCTTAGGCATACTCTACATCATCGATCACTTTCCTCTGTGGCCCCATAACCTCCTTGATCAGAAAATTTGGGACACAGCTGAGTTGCATGATGTTACAGTACAAGTTCTCCTATGTTCTGAGTCTTCACTGATCTTGAAAGGCTAGGGCCAAAATGCTGGCTGTCCTTGCAGCCCTTCTTTTTCTCTAATAACCCTCATAACTTAAGCAGCCTACTATGATGCTGGGAAAGAGCGTACAAAGTGCTAAGCACTGATCCTGACACCTACTAATTATGTACCATCTCCTCTTCTTTTCATAAAGAAGTAGCAGCTTATAGCATGTTTAATTCCAGCATAGAGAAGCTGAGGCAGGAGGATGGTTGTAAGTTTCAGACCAGTCTGGGCCACAATGTGAGCTGAAGACCAGCCTGAACTACATATTGGGTACAAATTCTCTTTTCATGGTGTTTTCTTCCAGGATTTAAAAATATTGGGATATGAGGGTCATAGTTCAGAAGGAAACACTTCCAAAAATATTTTGGGAGGAGTTTATTGCCTCCCTGTCATACTGACATTGTATCTGCTTCGAAACCTGCTGTCTGGCTTGTCTTTGTTCCTCTGTATGTTATATGCCACTTTCTTTTTTTTATTGATAATCAATAATTTATTTTATCCTCATGCATATTTTTGGAGTATATGCCACTTTCTGAATACTCTTGGTATTTCCTTTTTAAAATTGATTTGAAGGGCTGGAGAGATGGCTCAGTGGTCTAAAGCACCTACTTGGAACAAGCTTGGCAAAGCACAGGGACCGCGGTTCAATCCCCCAGCACCACATGCCAGCCAGCCCCGCCCCCTGGTGGGCTGAGCTGGCCACACACATACACACACTAAATAAAAATGTAATAAATAAATAATTTTAAAAAATTGATTTGTAGTAATAACTTGTGATGTGGCTTTGTGTAGCTTGAGTCATGTGTTCCAAGGTTGGCATTCATTTAATTTATTATAGCTTCAGTGTCAGTTTTTGTCAGTTGAGGACTTTATGTGCATTATTGTTTATTATCAGTTTAAACATCTTTCAGTCCACCTTTGGGACTCTCATAGCCCCTTTCTCACCCTTCTTGACATCGGCTCCTTCCCGTGAGCAGACAGGCAGCACAGAGGAGTCTCTGCATTTCTCCCCCGCCCCCAGGTGTCTGAGAACAACCTCTGCGTGCAGTATGAGGAGAGGGTGCGGCCCTGCATCGACCTCATCGACTCCCTGCGGGCCCTGGGCGTGGAGCAGGACCTGGCCCTTCCCGCCATCGCTGTCATCGGGGACCAGAGCTCGGGCAAGAGCTCCGTGCTGGAGGCTCTGTCAGGAGTCGCCCTCCCCAGGGGCAGCGGTGAGTCTGAGTCCTCTTCAGGCAGGCTGAGCTGCCTAGCTTGGGGAGGGCTCAGAGAAGCCCGAGGCGGACCTCCCGCAGCTCTGGCTCTGCATGTGCAAGATGAAGCTTGTGGTCTTTCCCTATGGATTGCAGGCAGCCAGCCCCTCACCGGCCTGCACCTGGCCTTTCCACTGTGCAGGATCCTGGTCTCTGCCGCCTCTCACAGAGCACCTGACACGGTGTTAGGGACTCCACCATTGTTATTGCTGCTTCCTCCTTTAACAGGAGGCCTCCCTCAAAGCCTTGTCTCCCACACAGGCACCTTGTGGGGAGGGCTTCTGCGCACACCTTTGGGCAGAGACCGTGCAGTTAATAGCTCAATCTGACTGAACGAGTCTCTTTAGCTCTGTGGAACCTGTGGTGTGGCCAGGTCTGAATAAAAACATGGAGCCCCAGCTGTGCTGTGTACCTGTCGGTGACCCTCCTTAGGCCTTCCCTGGGTGACTCTCCTGAGGCTTTCCCTGGGGAAGCACAGAATGGCACTGTGCTCAGTGGTGCTCTGTGAGGTGCAAGGCCACAGGTGCAAGTGAAGGCCCAAGAGAGGAGGAGGTCAAAGCCTGGGTGAGTCAGAGCTCAGAACATGGGGGATGTGACAGGCAGGTGCATCTGGGAAAGGTTAAAGAGGTTACAGGACCATGCTGTGGACAGTGGTGAGTAAACATTTGTCTCGAACCTGGAGGTCCAGTGCAGATGCTGCAGGATTTCCCATTGCATTAGTCCCTTGTACTGGCTGGCTGCAGGACAGTGGGAGGAGGCAGGAAGTCTCACTTGAGTGGTGGCTTTTACCCATGAAGAGGAAAGTCTCTTGGCTGCTTGTTTAAATGCAGAGCCCTGAGGTCACCTGACATGAGGTCTCAGTGCAGCTGGGGGAATCCAGAGAGCGCTGTGTTTCCACCTCCTATCCTGGCACTGTGTGCATGTCAGTACTGGTGGCCCGAGGCCCCATATGTGGGCTCTGAGACCTGAGGAGAAGACTGACACAGGTGTGCTCCCTAGGCATTGTGACCAGGTGCCCACTGGTGCTGAAGCTGAAGAAGCTGAGGCAGGATGAGGAGTGGAGAGGCAAGGTCAGCTACTTGGGCTTTGAGGAAGACATCCTGGACGTTTCCAAGGTAGAAGAGGAAATCCTCAAAGGTAAGTGCCCTGTGTGCCTCACCGTCTGCAGGATGCTGGGGCCAGCCATGCAGTGTGGGCCCTGTGATGGTCCCTATTATGGAGTCTTAACCAATCCTGCGTTTTCAAGGTCCCTGTGACTTCACTCCTTCCTTCCCTTTCCTGCCTCAAGGACCAGGCAGGGACCCAGAATGTGGCACGAGGAAGTGACTGTGGGACAATGAAGGAAGTATCTGAGAATGATGTGAATCTTCAATTTAGAGCTTGTCTCCAAACACAGGGCCCTGCTACCCTCATTCAAGAGCCTGTTGACATTGCTTCATAGATCACAGATCAGAGGCAAGAGGACGCGGATGTGGGCAAAGGGGCAGGGTCCTGCTGCCTCAACAGGGGTCTCCCTGTCAGCTCTGTCCCCCGCTCTCCACTGGAACCTGTGGCCCTTGTCGCCAAGAGGGTGTATGCGGGTGCGCAGTACCAGCCACCTGGTAGGGGGAGAGTCCCCTGGACCAAGTACAGTCAGTGTGCAGCGCAGGTCGAGAGAAGCCCAGCTCTCGCCTGTGATGACAGAGCAGCCCCTGCAGGGGAATCAAGGCTCCCCGTGAGTTCCCTGTTGTCCCCTGTCACATCACATGGTTAAGTGTCATTGTCTGGAGATAGGGAGTGGGTCACCCTCTGATTTTCACAATCAGCAAGGAGGCCTTTGTTTCTTGAAGGTGCCATCACTATTTAGCACTGATCCACAGTCTTAGATTTCAATAGTGACACAAAATTTCTTCAGTCTGAATAGGAAATAGATTGTCTTCAGGTGGCAAAAGACTCAATTTAACTGTATTCTGCATGGCAGGCTGGTCAACAGCCTCATGGCTAAATGGCGCATTTCTCATGGTTCAAGGAACCCAATGCCAATGCTCACTATTTCTGCAGGCTGTCCTAGGTGACAGTGTGGGAAGACCTTGCTAACATAGGTGTACCATGGGTGGCATGATGAGCGCACTCCGGGAAACTCTGGGATTTGTGGGTAAAGAGGGCAGTGGGTGTCCTGAGCAGAGGGACCAGAGAAGGCTGGCAGTCAGCAGCTTCAGAGTCCACAGAATCACACTCAGGCACATACCGCTGGATGCTGAGCACACCTCCACTGCAGGAATATGCCATGTGTAGTCGGGACAAGGGCCAGCGCAGGTGTGGGGCAGTGAAGATGCAGGAATGCTGGGCATCCTAGAGGGTGGGCAGCATGGCACGGACACACACACATCTCCACGGCTCACAGCACGGGGGGGATGAGGGCCCCCTGTGGGATACCACATCTCCTGCTTCTGTGTGTGCTGAGGGTGACCTCTCTCCAGCAGCCCTCAGGATGGAGTTGGCAAGGCCACACTGTGGCTGGCAGGACCAAGCCCTTTGCCCTGACAAGGGGCGGGTCAGTGCCCCCAGCCACCCTCTGGCCCTTGCACAGGACATTTTTACATGAGGCTGGGCCCTGAGCTCCAATCTCAGTTCCCTGGCACAGGAATTTGGGTGATTACAGACTCCCCCACATTTGCCTTTGCTGTCACATTCCGTCTATATTCCAGATACCCAACAAACATCTTGCCTACAGGGGAGGAGCCTTGTGCAAAGGGGTAGTAGGCTGCCACAGCAGCAGCTCCTCCTGTTGGAGATGACACCTCCTCTGGGTAGAAAATGCTGTTGCAGTGTGCGGGATCCTGTGTGTGTTCACTCATCTCCTCCTGTGACTGCCACCCTGAACAGGAGGAGGGATAAAGGAGCCCCGGGCAGTCTAGGCTCGGCTGGGCACTGCTGAAGGCTGAGATTCCCGTGGACAGCACCCACAGGCCTCTCCATGGGAACTGTCACAGCTTGGATAGTGTGGAGTTGTGCGCCGAGGAGGCTTCTATCTCTGATCTTAGAAGCTGGCTCCTGCAGCTCCTGTCGAGAGGCCCCATGATGGTAGGAGTATTCATCTTTCCAGGACTGAGCTTTGCCTTTTCCTCTTCCACAGCCCAGAACATCATCGCTGGAGACGGGCTGGGGATCAAGGATGAGCTCATTAGTCTAGAGATCGGCTCCCCCAGTGTCCCGGATCTCACTCTCATCGACCTTCCTGGGATCACCCGGGTGCCTGTGGGCAATCAGCCCGCTGACATTGGTCACCAGGTGAGACCTCAGATGTCCTTCAGACCTGCCCTAGAGTGCAGGAAGTGCTGCTAGAGGGCAGAGCCAGTCCAGGGCTGTGTTGGAGAGGGATATGTGGAGTCTGGTGGCACTGAAGAGCCCTGTGCTCATCAGCTCCCAAGCTTCATGGTGAAAGTGTAGCCAACAGGAACAACTGGAGACAGATTTGATGGCTGTTGTGCTTTATGCAACGGCTCATGAAATGGACCTGTAAAGGGTGGTGAGCATCCACACAGCTGTGTGATGAGGAGGCTCGAGCTCGGAGAGAGAGCACGGGTGTGCAGAAGACACGTGTGGGTGAATCTGAGTTCATGGAGCGGGTCCAGGGAAGGAGCCAGGCAGCACTTGTGGCATCGAGCTGTCCCTGTGACCAGCAGATCTGAGGTTTCTTAGGACATTTAAGCAGCTCAGATCTCACTGTCATCCCTGGCCCCTCAGCTATATGACTGCTGCACATGATTTACTTTGTCACCCTTCAGACTTAGCAGGTGGGGTCACTTTTCCATCCTCACTTCTCAGGAAGGACTCACATCTAACTGTGGGCTCAGCGAGTGTGAGGTTGGGATGGTGTGATTCCTCCCACTCTTTTCAGGAGTTTGACAGTGCCATTTCTCATAGATCAAGCGCCTCATCAGGAAGTACATCGCAAAGGAGGCGACCATCAACTTGGTGGTGGTCCCCAGCAATGTGGACATCGCCACCACGGAGGCCCTGAGCATGGCACAGGAGATGGATCCCGAAGGAGACAGGACCATAGGTGAGGAGTTAGGGCTGTATCGGGGCTCAGGCTCTGCAGGCATCGGGGGTGGGCACCTGCATCTAGTAGCAGGAGCTGCGCAGGTGCACACTGAGGTGCCCGGTCACTAGCTCTGCTTGGCTCTTGAGGGCCACTGTTGACCTGGATGCCCCGACTTTCTGCTGCAGAAGTACCAGGTCACTGATAGGGCAGTTGGGCGCAGATGGGACATCCTAGTCATGGGAATCAAAGGAGAACGAAGCAGAGCCCACGTCCTCAGAGGACACAGGGAGGAACAGTTTGCTCCTCTGTGCCAAAAGCTGGGGAAGAAGGTCAGGAGGAGTCTCCAGTGCAGGTAGCACCCCTTTCTCCTGTGTCAGCACCCCTTTGTCCTGTGTCTGCTCCAAAGGCTTTCCAGCAAGGGGCTCTGTCTCCCCTCAGGCTAGGGCAGCCTGAAGTTCTGGGATGAGCGGTTGGGGCAGGAGCTGCCCTTCCTCTCCACCCCTGGTGTCCTCTGATCAGAAGCCTCTGCCCCAGGAATCCTGACAAAGCCTGATCTAGTGGACAGAGGCACCGAGGACAAGGTGGTGGACGTGGTGCAGAACCTGGTGTGCCACCTGAAGAAGGGCTACATGATCGTCAAGTGCCGTGGGCAGCAGGACATCCAGGAGTGCCTGAGCCTGGCCGAGGCCCTGCAGAGGGAGAGGACCTTCTTTGAGGACCACCCACACTTCAGGTGCACTGTAACTTCTATCCCCAGCTAATGCCACTGCAGACACTGTACATGGAGAAATTGTCCCTTCAGCGCGTGTATCCGGGGTGTGTGGAATGCATGGTTGAGGGTGACAGTGAATGCGTGTTTGTGACATGATTTTCTCTTTGTTTACTGAAAGAAAAGGGGAGCTCACAGAGGATTATCCCCCATGCCTCACATAACCAGTGAAATTGAGGGGTACATGGCAGGGTCATTTCAACAGTCCTATCCCAGGGGAAATACCATGAGAAGAAAAGAATTCATATTGGTTTGGTAGAAGTATCTGTTTCTCTGCTTTCAGGGTTCTCCTGGAGGACAGAAAGGCCACTGTGCCCTGCCTGGCAGAGAGGCTGTCTGAGGAGCTCATCGCACACATCTGTGTAAGTGCAGGCCAAGCCTGTGTCCTGCTAGAGGGTCCAGACACCACCCCACGCTGTGCAGAGACCCGCTGTGCGCCAGGAGAGCGGAGCAATGGGAAGGAGGAGGCCTGGCCTGCAGCTGAGATCCTGCGCTCACTGCAAGGCCCGAGATGGAGGATTTCTCAGGCAGAGTCTAGGCTCACACAGCAGACACTCAGGAGGGCAGCTGGGAGCACCGAGGCGCAGCAGAGGTCTTCTGTCCCCTCTGCCTGGAGCCATGGTCCAGTCTCTCCTTCCTGCCCCCATGGTAGTGTGGAAAGCCAGATGATGGCTCCCAGACCGTAATGGAGAGCCAAGAGCTCACCAGGGCGACCTCAGCTGGGGCAGCTTGCTACCCTGTGGGACTCCCAGCCTAGACCCCTCCTCCCAAAGGGGATCCATGGTTCCCTGTACTGGGTCTGGCTCCTGAATCTGAGCTCAGGATTTCTTCCCTACATCCCCACTTGCTGTCCATGCTCCTGTCCTCTCATGTCCCTGGGTGACCCCTGAGTGCTGGTTCAGCCCTCTACTGTCACTTACTACCTGGCCACCTGGCTCATGGGAAGGGACAGGGCTAACATCCGGGACAGCGTGGTCCACTCTACCACTGCTGGGGAACTGCGCATGCAGCTGCAAACAAATGTAGTTGCAGGAGTCCTTAATAGCTTTGCCTTGCTGAAAATAGTATGAAAGTTGGAGAATCTCAAGTTGTCCCAACTGCCAGTTATCCTTAAAAGGGGCATCAGGCTGCTGTCCCTGAAGAGAGACACCGAGGGCGAATCAGGAGTTGCTTCTCGGTGATTCACAATTCTTGGTGCCACTGGAAGACAGGGAGACCACTGTCTCCTGTTTGCCTTGTGTGGCTCATGGAGGTGATTGAGGAGGAGGAAAATGGTATACTGGGTGCACAGGAGACCCCTGTCATGCTTCTCTGCTCAACATTCTGAGGGACACCGAGAGGAAACACAGGCAGGCAGATCCTCTGCAGAGAGGTCCCTGGACTGTGCTCTATTCCTAGTCCATATTTATATCCCCCATATATTTTCTTTCTTTTCCCCAGAAATCTCTGCCACTATTGGAAAATCAAATAAAGGATCTGCACGAGAAAACAGCAGAGGAATTACAGAAGTTTGGCTTGGACATCCCAGAAGATGACAGTGAGAAAACATTCTTCCTCATAGAGGTGAGCACTGCCCGTGGGCCAGTGATGGAGATGCCCACATTGCTGTCCTCCAAGGCGTCCTAGCACTGGCACTTGCTGTCCTCTCTGGCCCAAGGCTCCTCTATGCACACTGGGCCCACTTAGCAGATAAGGTTGCTGCTGGAGACAGATGTCAGGGTGTCTTGCTCATGGCAGGGACTCTGCAAAGGCCCTCAGTGAAGAGCTCCAGGTAACTTCAGAGCCATGGGGTCCCCTGGTCAGAGGGCCTCTTCTCTTGCTTTGTCTCTGAGTGGTCATGAGGAAAATGGCTCCCAAAACACAGGGTGGCACACATGACCTCCAAGCCACATCCACTGTTATAATTGATGTACCTCTGCTGATATGCTGTTTCTCTTCTTGACAGAAAATCAATGCATTTAATCAGGACATCAGTGCTCTAGTGGAGGGGGAGGAAAACGTAGGCGCTGAGGGCACCCGGCTGTTTGCCAGACTCCGAAAGGGGTTCCTATGGTGGAGTTCCAAGATCAAAGAGCACTTTGCGAAGGGTGAGTGTCTGAATTTGTGCTGCTGTAGCTAAGAATTGTCAGCAAGGGTAGTTTATGGAGGAGAGAAACCCAGTGCTCACACTTCTGGATGCTGGGAAGTCCGAGTTCAAGGCACCAGTTCATGGGATTTCTGGTGAGGGTGTGGTCTCTGCAGCTGCTTCCAAGGGATGACTTCCGGCTGTGTCCTCACCTGGTGGAGGGCAGGACAGCTCCTGCTGACTGGGTTTCTACACACAGCTGGTCTGTGCAGGTGTAGTTCCAGCACCTGGCATCTTCTTAAAGCCCCTCCTCTGAATGGCGCCACCTGTGGGAAGTTTCCACATGTGGGCTTGAGGCGCACCTTCTGACCCCATCCCGGGTCATGGCGCAGTCCAGCATCTGTGCTGCTCTATGAGGACACAGAGGAGCATGATGTGAGGGGAGGAGCAGGGCTGAAGTAGGGAGTCGTCAACCCAGAAGCTAAATGCGCTGTTCCTTGCCACTAAATGAGGCCAGTAGGCACCTGGAATAAAAGACAATCCAATGAGAAAATGAGCCAAGGATTCAAATCAACATTTGTCGAATAAGAAGATCTATATTATTGCCAATTAACCACTTAGGATGATGCCGAGCATCACCAATGTCCCACCCTGGGATCCCACTGTGGCAGTCACCCTCAATCGCTAGTGTATTCCCCATCCACTCCACAGGGAACTGGAAATACAGGGCCACACAAAAGTTCCCAGAATAATGGTGAGAGCAGTATTACTCATGGTATCACAAGGGACACTCACACTTGGGGTCCCTCACCTGGTGAGTGAACAAACTGAAGGCGATGCCCTTTGCACGTGATGGAAAGTCTTGCAATGATTGGATGCTTCACACAACTCTGTGAGAACCCTCAGTGTGGAGGACCACCTGAGCAGCTGTCCTTGAAAGAAGAGTGACTGTCTCCATTTTGACTGAACCTGACCCTATTTCCTCATATTGTTGTGCACAGAGCTGGCTAGGATTTCTATTTATCCTTCAATTGGCCTTAAGCAGTGTATACTGGTCTAGCTGAGGTGCTAGTGATAGTCTTTCAAGGTGGCGTGAGTGTTTCCCTAGTAACCTATACCTGCTGCTCTTTAATATGAGCCGGGTTGAGACAGGAAGGAAGAGCTAATGCTCTGCACCACCAGCTGGGATAGAGCCTTGAGATAGAGGGTATGACTTCCTGGGGCTTGAAAGACTACATCAAAGCTGAAGCACCAGACCCCTCAAAACATTAGATACTATCTCTATGGCATAATAGTATAATGCAGATTACTGTCTCTGCATATCCTCTCTGCATATGGCAGAAGTAAATTTAGGCCACTCATCTAGCTCAGCTCACAATAGTCACCTATTTCCCACAATTCTCAGTCAATCCTCCTCAAGCCACTCCACTGAATAAAACTGGGTGAGGCCCTGGGTTGCAGTCTTAGTTCCGGAAAGCCATCTGCTGGCTGGACTTAGAGTCCCTCGACTCCCCAATGATTGAAAATGTAATTTAGTGTCTTTATTTTCACTGTGGGTTGCATTGAAAGTGGTAGATTGGAATCAAGTTGATGAGATTCCAGTAACGTAACTTTGAGATTACAAATATTGTCTTCTTGAGCCAAGATGAGGACCTGGAAGTGTCTCCTACCCCTCAGGCCAGGAGATCATTTCAAATATTGTGCTAATTTTTTTGTTATGTACTAATTTTATATGTTGTTTTAAAATGACTTAAAAAGTAGTAATACAGGGCTGGTGAGATGGCTCAGTGGTCTAAAGGACCTACTTAAAACAAGCTAAGCTAAGCAAAGCACAGGGACCGCAGTTCAATCCCCTAGCACCACATGCCAGCCAGCCCCTGCCCCCTGGTGGGCTGAGCTGGCCACACACACAAAAAAAAATAACTAAATAAAAAAAAAAAGTAGGAATACAAAAATCACATTAGATCTGATGCAAGGGGCCGGGGAGATGGCTCAGTGGAATAAGCGCTTCCCTGGCAAGCGCAAGGGCCGGAGTTCAATCCCCGGTTCTGGGGAAAAGAAAAAAAAAAGAAAGAAAAAATAGATCTGATGCAGAATTTCAGAAAGCCCCATAATAGGAATTCAGCGATGGTTGTTATATTGCACACTGTCCTCTTCAAATTAGCTGTTCAAAGCTAAGCTAAGCGAAGCACAGGGACTGCAGTTCAATCCCCCAGCACCACATGCCAACCAGCCCTGCCCCCTGGTGGGCTGA